GAATTTTTTTTGAAAAGTTTTGCCGGCCCGGCCCGAACCCGGAAATTTATAATTATTTAAAATAAAAGACATATGTTATAGAGCGTTTAGTTTCAATAAATTAAATCAAAATTTTTTATTTTACATAAAAAATTCAATATAAAATTGATAAATTTAGATATATTTAATAAAATTTTCAAGGTCCGACCCGACCCGGCCCGAAATTTTTTTAAAAATATTAGGCCTGGCCCGAACCCTATTTAAATAGAATTAGGTCCGAAACCCGTTCGGGCCGGGCCTAACTTTGCAGATCTCTAGTATAGATCATATTAAAATTTGAACTTGCAAATATTATTTTAAAGTAGTAAAAAGTATCATTTCAAACTTTTAAGTATTAAACTTGAACAAAAAATACATAACTCGTAATTTAAAAAAAAATTTTTTTTCATTTAAACTAACCTTGCAAGCTTTAAACTGATATTAACAAGTTTTATATGATACCTTCACATTGTAAAATGTTGTTATATTTATTATATGTCCTATATATATTATATAATGTAGTGAATTACAAATTAAACATTCATATAAAATTATTGATTATTGAAAATTATTTTTAAAAGATTATTATTTGATTTTCTTTAAAAATTGTTAACTGATTTTTATAAGTTGATGCTTGTGAGCGTTGACATTTTATGTCAATAAATACTTTGCAATCTAATGTTATTTGCCCTTTGATTATATGAATTCGAAATAAGTAAATTAAATATTTGACGTCATAGGATTAGGAAATTGAGAAGAGAAGGCAAGGAAATATAAGAACGCCTAACAATAAAGGCATAATTATAAATTAAATTGCTAATCTCGTCTATAATGTTTCACACACCAGAAATTTACGTTGCTGATAAAACTTATTAAAAATTGTTGGGACCCAACTAAATTTCATTCAACCAAATACATATAACCTTACCTCCATAGAGTGGTAACCTTTTTAACCTTAATCAGAATCTCGCTTTAGAGGTTGATTACGGCAATTTTTTTTAAAAAAATTTTTTTTACCAATGAAAGCAGTTTAATTTATTATTTAAACTGCTTGAACTAACAATGGTCTCCTTGGGAATTGAACTTATGGCTCGCCGCGCGCTTCTGAGAAATTTGCAAAAACTAAGGATTCTTAATCGGCCTCCTCTATCATTAGCCGTTAAACATTACCATATTTTTCTTTATTCAATATATAATAACAATGCAAAACAATTATATATTTTTAAAACATTATGAAGTTTTGGCATCAGGAAAGTTAGGTCAAAATATTTGCTAAAGCTTGGCCTCGAACCTAATGTCTGCTTTTCAGTTGATATGGCTTTAAGGAAATATTATCCCTATTTTATATATACATTTATAGTATATCTTTTTTTTTTAAAAAAAGCGAACTAAATAATTAAAAGTATGCTAAAAAAATTATAGATTAAATCTGATACTCGATGGAAAGGCTTTTGGAACAAAAAAAAAGATATACAACTAATTTACTAATTAAATAAATGATTTATAGATATTTATATATTTTTAGATTGATTAATATATAACTGAATAAATAAGCCTAAAATAATAAGCTAATTAAAATTTGATAGTACTAATATCTAGAATATTTTAAATGATTTATGTTATCGTTAGGTTATAAGATAATGTGACATACTATTTACAAAAAAGTAGATACTTCTATTAATTCGCAACAAATAAAAATTATCCACATTTCCTCTTTTTCTTATTAAAAATCTCTAACGAACAAAATCCGATTTAATATTGATCAGTAATTGGCCTATATCAATATAATATCGGATCGCCCTGCATTAACAGTTAGAACGAATTCGCGGTGAGGTATAACCGCAAATTCTTGTTAACGGTTAATGCAGGGTATCCCATCATCCACAGTTTTCTCTAATTCACGGCGGAGAATACAAAAATACAGCGTATTTTGTATAATTCGCCTATAATTCACGCTATCTATGAATGAGGGGTCAACCTCCAAAAAGTGATATCGATACACCTCTAGTTGTTAAAACTCCCTTAAAATTTTAAAATGAGTTCGGGGTTCAAAGCAAAAAAAATGTATTTGGGTTAGGTTTGGAAATGTTATCTTAACTCGGAACCTAGAGATTTTTTGATTTGGCTTAAATAGTAAATAGAAATACATTTAGTCACCAGGTTCTAAGCTAGAAACCTAGCCGCCATTTTTGACAGTGTGTATAAATTTATTTTTATTTTGTATTTATGCACACTAATTATATTGGGTAATGTAGCAGTTCGATATTTTTATTAGTAATAAAATTATAATATTTTACAAAAATACAAAGCACAAAAATAAAATTACATTTTAAAATTTTTAACATTGTCCGCAAGTTGTTTTGGTATCTTAGATCTTTGCGGAGAAATAAATTAACTTTAAATCCAAAATAGCTCATCAATAATCTATAAATAAATCAATTAAATACCCCTTACAGGATGATAAATTTAACAAATTTTATAACCCCTCAAATTTCGCTCAATATTTATATTTCACATAGGCGTATCCAGGATTTTCTTATGGGGGAATGGTACTATTAAGTGTTTTGACTAAAATCCTAATCGGGCCGTTTTTAAAATTCTACCCAAATCGAACTTTTTAAAGTATACATGGGGAGGGAAGTGGTATATAGATTTTTTTTTTAAAATTAGCTTAGAATGATATTTACAACAGGCAAATTTCTAATGAAGGTTGGGGGATATCCAGTTTCTCACCCCTTAGCTATGCGCCTGATATTTCGAAGCATCAACGAAATATGATTATAAATATAAAAAGCACTGAACCAGTTTCGAACCCGGTTTCAAAAAATTAAGTCGTTTTTGTTTCGGATTTGAATTTTTTAAACGTTCGGACTTATCTACGTGTTCAGGTTGTGTTTACAACCCTCATCCTTTATTATTCACAGTTTAGCGAAATCGCGGCTAAATATTCAAAATATGCTGTATTTTTGTATACTTTGCCCGAATTATCGCCAACTGTCAACATCTTTTGAACTAAAACACCCTGTTTTGGTTTGGTTTAAGTATATGGTGGCATTGTTTTTTCGCATTTTTTTCTCACCGACTGTTTAGTAGTAATAGGTTTAACCAGGTTACACTCTGAAGTTGGCAGTTCATAATTTATAAAATCATGCGATTCACACCAGTTTTCAAACATTTTTTTAGGGGTCGTATTAAGAGTCAGGCCACTAGATTTTTAATTCGATTTCCTTGAAAAGAACGTTCAGAAACTTGCCAAATTTTTTTAATATAATAAAAAAAATAAGAACCTTAAAATTAATTATATTATACAAATATCGATATTAAAAATACCTCGCTGCCAAAAATAATATTAATATTCTTAATATAAATTAGCCTTATCCATTTAGAAAATGAAAATATAAATTTTTTTTTTTTAAATAAAAATAAGCGTCGAAATTTTATTTTGGCAAATAAAATATACTACAACCCCAAATATGATTATAATTAGAAAAATCCGAAAAACCATTATTACACAATAAGTATAATTATAATAATACGATATTTTATCTGGCAAAAGAAACTAAGAAATATGCTTACAATTTGTATTATAGCAATTTTTTTTAAATCGAAACGGGAAAAACTGATATGGGAAAATTCAATTATGGAATTATTTATTATTTTGATAATTAAATAAATAAATATTCATTATTCTCCCCCCCCCCCTCCACAAACCCCCTATTTTTTTTTACCCCTGATATTAGTTAATCAATGATCTATATTATAGTGTTTCGTCGTATTAATTTATAAAAACAAAAATTGTTATGGGCGAAGTCGACTAATAAATTAGTCATTTAGGTGGTTGCTATTTTTATTAATTCAAATTTGTTAGGATTAAATGAATGTGGAATAAGAAAATAATATAAAATAGAAAGAAGGGAGAATGATATTGAAGCCTAACAAATAAGTATTTCGCCACTTTTATTCAAAGATTCAGAGATTTGTAGTATAGTATAAAAATTTAAAAAAAAAAAATATTCAAGACAAAAGTAGGAGGAAAAGAAAAGTTAATTTATTAAACAAAATAAAAAAAAAATTTTTTTTAATCGATAAACGTAAAACTTGCAAAATTATTTTAAAGGTAGGAAACCATTTAATTGTCAAGGTTATTAAATAATAAATTAGCATAATCCTAATCCCTTAACGAAATGAGAATTTGTCTAATCCCTTAAAATGTATAATAACTAGTGATTCAAACAGTAACGAATATAGGTTTAGATGCAAATAACAGTTCGGGGTTTCGTAAAAGTTCGATTTTTCATAGAAAACCTTAACGAATATAGGTTCAGAAGCAAATAACGGTTCCGGACTTAGTAAATCCGGCTCGAACCGTTTCTTATACAAACCCGTAATAAATATTGATTCTCAGATGCAAATTGCGAATCCGAGTTTTGTAAAGACCGGGTTTTAACCGTTTCTTGAAATTAATTAGATATGTATGCTTAGAGATAAACCTTTTTTTATAACATAAGTCCATATATAAGTAATTAACGGCTATATTATTATTTTCGCATATACTAATATATAATAACTGAATTTATAATTTATAACAAATAAACAGTATTTCTTTTTTTAACTGATAATAAATGAATATTATTTTCAAAAAAATTAAAACTAACTTAGGCTGTGACCTAAATATCAAAAATATTTATTATAAACTTTCGTAACTTTAACTAAAAAAATGAAAGAAATAAGCTATTTTAATGTAAAAATTAAATTGTGTCCTAAATCGAGTCTTTTAACGAAATTTATAAGAGGCCATCTTAAATGGCTTTTTTCCCGCAAAGGAGTTTTAAAATATTTTTTTTTTATATCAGAATGATATTTAAAAATATAACTTTCCCCCAGCATTAACAAACGTCAAAAATTATGAACTAGGGCGTCGAATACAAATTACACATTTCATTTTAATTTATAATTTCTATTTTATATATTCATATTTTTAGCTCCATATGAAGGTGGAATTTGGAAAGTCAGGGTGGACTTACCCGATAAATACCCATTCAAATCTCCTTCCATAGGTAAAAATTATATATATTTTTTGTCTCTTTGTTCCGGTCAATGTTACTTAAAATATCACCTGGGTTTTCTCAATGACATAATAATACTGATTAGTTCTAAAATGCACGTTGTAGCGCCCAGCTGGTGACGCCATTTTGGTTTCCTATATAAAAAAAATATAAACAAGTGAAAATTTTGATTTTTTTTTATGAAAGTTTTATGTAAATTATTTATAAAAGGAAAATCAAAATGGCGTCACCAGCTGATTTGCTTTGATACGAACTCAAAGGAATAAATGGTCAGTCCAGGCTATTATATGTCAGGTGTTTATCCCATCTCAGGTTACGTTTTCGTAAGCATTGAATTGCGTTAATCAATGATATATCTATTTGCGAAAAAAAAGCAAATTAAAATATTTTTGTGAAAATACAAATTTTATTTTTCGCTTTAATTCCCACAATTTTAATGTTTGGTTCCCAAACTCAAAATCCAAAACCTATTATATACATAATTTATACTTTTCCTATTCAAGTTATTTCATATCATTTAATGGGATATATTATATGAATTCGGGAGCTTTCAATTTTAAATCATTTAGTGAGAGCGATTCTAAAGATTTAAATGAATCTAACTTAGACCACGGATTTTATTTTTTATGAACATCTCAATCAGTTTTAATATAATAATAATTACATAGATTTTTCAAAATAAAAACACGGGTTACTTCATACATCTTACTTTTTAACTCAATTTTCGACTTTGAAATAGAACCCTATAACATTTAAAGAGCTGGGTAGATCCTTTCCCCCCTTCAAAACGTATAATTTTACGAATTCTGATAAAAATTACCGAAAAAATATCGTAATCGCGACCACTAGCGGATTCACTGGAGGAATTATAAATCTATCATTTACATATATGAAATATTACTTTGCATATTAAATATATTTCAATTAATTGTAAAATATTGTATAATTTTTTTTAATATTATTAAATATAATATTTTATAAATATAATTGATCATTTCAAAACTGAAGGATTCATTAACCTTTTTTCCTATATTCATCCTTTCATTATATTGATATATATTATATAATAAATATTATTTAATATTTATCTCTTTTAAAATATCTCTAATTTCTTTTATATATATACATTTATATAAGTAACCACTATAATCTTTTTTTTCTTTCAAATTAATTTTTTTTAATTTATATGTAAATATATATACAATTAAAATTTTATTTTGTGAGGATAACCACGGATTTTTTTTTACTAGATTTAAAAAAAATATTTTTTTTTGCCTCTTTGCCCATACTTAAATTTTGCCGGTTCATAAATTTTCGATAAAGTACATCATGTAAAAAGAAGAAGAAAAAAAAACTTAATGAATAGAATACATTTGCAATTGAAATACCTTACTACAGGTAATTATACATTATTCGTAATTTATTGCAGGAAAGTCGGGAAAATATGAGGAAGAAAGGCGAGAAAACAAATTCCACTTCACAGCTTCGGAAATGCTAAACTCTGATTTAATTAAACAAATTACAATAATTTTCATAGCAAACCTGGGTTTGCTTGTGGAAGTTTTATAAATGTAAATCAACTCAAGGAGTCTTCAACTGCGAGATTTTTTAATAGGATGAAATATATTTAAAACTAAATAAGTATCCGAAGTAAGGTTGAGAGAAATATGGGTTAGGATTAATTAAAGTTTTAAAAAATATGGGTTAAGGGTTAAAACGATAAAATATTTAATAAAATTTATTATTAATAATTTCTCAACCTTGACAGCTCGTCATGTGATTGTAAATAGACGAATAAGTTCTTTATAAATCAGTTATTTTAGTGACAATTTCCTTGAGTTGGGACCATAACCAAGTTTCAAAATATAAATAAAATAACAACTCTTTCCTTCCTACAAAATTTACTCGCAAATGGCTAAACACCTGATTTATGTAATTATTACATTGGTTACCATTTTATAGTGTTGTTAAACGGGCCAATTTTTAAAAACGGCTAACTCAATATTTTAACCAGAAAAATATTGCCTAAACCTCGAGATTTCTATAGTATATGTTTAGACCTTTGTTCCTACGAACAAAATCTTCAGGCTTGCATAATATTTTTCCGGATAAAATAGCCGAATCGGCTCGAAACGAGCCGTTTAACAACACTACCATTTAAATTAAATAAAAGCGAATAATTAAAAACCCTTCACTATTTTTACGAAATTCCAATATATATTTTGATCAATAATATATTTTTATTTTTACTAAGTATAAATTTACATTACCTTTAATCAGTAATAATAAATAATAGAATATACAAAAAATTAAATAATGATGATAAAAAATATGTACATTAACAAATCAAATAAAATAAAATTGTACAACAAAAAATATTTAAGGGTAAACCTATTAAAATACCGAAAACAGATATTATTTACTGTAAATTTTATACTGAACTTTAAAGTACTGGCAATTTTGTTATTATAACCGAAAAAAATATTATAGTATTTTCGAATAAAATATTGGAGAATAGAACCCCGAGGGAATCTGTTCACGCCCCCCCCCTCCCCCCCCCTAACTGTGGTATTGATAGTGCCAGATATCTAATTTTTTTTTCTGGATGTTAGATTCCAACAATATATTTTAAGATAAACGGATTATTTCGTTATTTCAAATTATTATTAACCTAAAAAAAAAATTTCAACGGGAAAAATAATTTTTTTTTTCCTGCAATCAATGGGCCAAATAAAGTATTATAATATATAATCGATTATTTTTTATAAATTAGGTTTTTTTTTTCATTTAAGACTTGCTTTCAAATAAAGTTAACGATTTAAATTAATCTAATTGAATATGGAATTAAGTGCTTCTGAGACTGTAGCGCGTTTTTTTCTTTGTTTAAAAAATTGATTTGGTTTATTAGAAATATAAATGTAAAACAATCCAACTCTGATTCTTATAATTTCTTAATTGCAACGAAACTATAACATGTTTCTTTTATTTATACGTTTTGTTTGACTGACTCAAATATTGATTTAAATTGATATTTTTAGATAACTGGTAAAGTCAGAGTAGCGTGGCAGCTATTACAGCAAAGGTAACTAGCAGGCGCCAGGGGTATATAGAGCATGTCAGAAATGTTTTATAGAGGCCCGTAGTGTTCATAACTTTTACTATAGCCACAGATTCTGGATTTTGTGGCATAATAAAGCCCCCCCCCTCACCCTCATCACTTTAATTGCTATAACTCATCTAATTATGGCATCAAACCAGTTAAAGGGTTATCAATCTATTTTTCCGATATCTGAGTTAATGAATGCCGCTTACCCTAGGACCCACAATACCATTGAATGAAATTGTAATTTATATTTTTTTAAAAAATAAATTATGAAAATATATAAATGCCCTGTGGAGGTTATTATTTTTTTTTTAAAAAAAAAATTGATTTGGAGTAGTTTAAAAAATAAATTTTAAGTTCCAGATATTTACATAAAAAAATATTTAGTTATATAAAATAAAAAATTGAAACTATCAACTGAAATATATGTATATTATAATTATTTATTGATTTATTATATATATAAGTTTTTAAAAAAAAATTTACATAATCAATTACCTCCTTATTGCCTAATTGTTAAAAAAAAATGTTATTCATTAACCCCGTTTAAAGTCCAAGGTCGCCCTGCTATATCTGCTCTCTTTATCGCGATTTTATATCGAAAGTTTTTTGTTTTTTTTTTAAAAAAAAAATTTAAAATTTCTCTTTACTTTTTGTTTCTTATTTTTTTTGTAACTTTTTCGTACATTCTTTCTTTTTTCTCCCCTTTCCTTTATAATCCGAGATTTAGCAAAAAAGAGCGAGAGAAAGATGCAATGATAACATGATATGATACTAATATTTTTTTTCCCCGGGACCCATTCGCCCTGTAACAAGATTTTTTCACCAAAGCCCGGCTCGAATTTTAAAAAAAATCTAAAAAATATTTATTTTTTCCCCTCAATTTCAAAGTTTAGGTCTCTTTTATAAAGCGCTGGATTATTTTTAAATAGCACGCAAATAATAGGTAAATTTATAATTATTGCCGATGAAATGAGTCATATGGTTATAGATAAAATTATTTAAATATATATTTTACTTCTTAGTAGTTGATTAACCCCCCTGCATTCATAGTTAGCACCAATTCGCGGCGAATTTTTTGTGTATTGCGAATTCGCGCTAACCATGAATGCAGGGTATATAGGTTTTTAAATATTTTTTAAAATACAATTCAATTTATTGCAAAAGAAAGTTACTAGTAAATATTTCGTCATTTTTTTTCCTAATTTATTTTCTTATTTTTTTTAAAATTCATTTTATAAATTCTGATAATTCCAAACATCAGGCTAAAGAAAAAAGTAAGAAAATATGAAAGTTAATATTTTTCGGACAATGGGATGAGACGGGACCTATATTATATCGACGATGTCACGTGTCCCTTGGGTCGGGCTGACGGACATGTCCTACATAATTAATTTAACTTTTAATGTCTGCATGAACGAGGGTGGGGTATCAGTCGTTTACCCTAATTCTTACTTAAGGGTAGGGGTGGTTTAAGTAGAATTCTAATATGGTAGGGATTAGAATATATTTGGAGGAGGGAGGGGGTGTGTAGAGAAGTAAATATCCGCGTGTTGCTTCCCATGCAATTTTTAACTGTTTCTATTTTTTTTAAAAAATTTTTAATTGGGGGAAAATAACAAAACATGAACTCACCATATTGCTTAAAATCCTCTGGAAATTTTTTTTATGGGAGACAAAAGAATGTAATTTTTGATTATTCCCTTTTCTCCTTCGGTATATTTATACAATTACAAACATTTGAAATTGTGTTTGACAGTTAGAAATTTGTAATATAATAAAATAAAGGATTATGAGAGTCTTTTCCTTATCGACTTTTAAGTCTAAGATTTTTTTTAACTAGAATATATTTATAATCGCTATCGGAAAATTTATAGATTTTAGACCC